GAAGGCCCAGCACCTACCGGCCGCCCCTTCGCCCTCGTCGCCGTGCGTGCTGGCCCTGGGCAGCGTGTGGACGAGCTTCTCCACCCAGCCCCTCCTGCGCAGGGCGGCCCGGACCACCGGGTAGTGTCCGTACAGGAAGAAAATCTTCTTTTCCTCAAAGTGAGAGCACGGTCTCGTTAACGGCTGAGAGCAGGTCAATTCCTTCCGCGTGGCATGAGACGGACTGTGCTGGGGGAGACACCACGGCCACCGCGACACCCCCAGGGACACTGAGAACCAGACGTGGGCGGGGCCGGGCCCACGTCCTCGTGGGGCCCGCACACAGGGAAGTGCCACACTCGCCATCACACAAACACACGCACGCACACGGTCACACACACACACGGTCACACGCAACATCATTATGCAGGCACAGTCACACAGTCACGCACACACACATGCACATGCATACACACGGTCACACACATGCACACGTGCACACACATTGTCACGCACGCGCACACCCACCGTCACACACACACGCGCACTCACCACCATGCACACGTGCACACATTGTCACACATGGTCACACACACCTACACACATACACACACATGCACACACATCGTCACGCACGCACACACTCAGCATCACACACATGCACACACTGTCACACACACGCACAAATACATACGCACACACGGTCACACATGCACATGTGCACACACTCACCTTTACATGCACACACATGCACACACATTGTCACGCACGCGCACACCCACCGTCACACACACACGCGCACTCACCACCATGCACACGTGCACACATTGTCACACATGGTCACACACACCTACACACATACACACACATGCACACACATCGTCACGCACGCACACACTCAGCATCACACACATGCACACACTGTCACACACACGCACAAATACATACGCACACACGGTCACACATGCACATGTGCACACACTCACCTTTACATGCACACACATGCACACACATTGTCACGCACGCGCACACCCACCGTCACACACACGCGCACACTCACCACCATGCACACGTGCACACATTGTCACACACGGTCACACACACCTACACACATGCACACACATTGTCACGCATGCACACACTCAACATCACACACACATGCACACACTGTCACACACGCACAAATACGCACACACGGTCACACATGCACGTGTGCACACACTCACCTTTACATGCACACACATGCACATTGTCACACACACATGCACAGGAGGCACAGCCAGGATGACGGGGCCTGAGAACCTGTGCTCTACGACCGTCTTTTCTCTACAGAGGTGACCATCCCCCATGCTTGGGGGGCGCCGGGGCCCAGGGTTTGAGGAGGGGGAGGGAGGAGCCATTCAACTGGCCAGGAAGGGCCAGATGGCCCATGTGCCGAGAGCACGCCAGGGGACACTGGGGACTCTGCCTATCGCTGTGGTACGAGCTCAGCTGTCTGTGGACAAGGCAGGGAGGTGGCTACTGGTGAGGCGGCCTAGCCGAGGGACCGGGCAGCAGGGGAGCACTCGGCTGAGCCCCTGGGCCTACACTGCTGAGGACGAGCCTGGACGTGCTCACGGGGCAGGGAACGGGCGTGCGATTGGCAGCGAGCCAGGGCCTCCCGAGTTTGTGGGAGCAGGCCAGGGCGTTAGGAAAGGCCGGGGAGCAGCTCAGACGCACAGGCGTCCCTAATTAGTTGGCTTTGAATTAACCTAATTCTCCCGGGGTGGGCCAGACCTAATCAGACAAGCCTCTCGAAGAAGGTCCAGGGTCCGAGACTCGAGGCAGCACAGTCCGGTTTTGCACGAGGTGCCACCAGTTCTAAGGCCACAGAGGGTGAGTGCCGCCAAGTGAGGGAGCGCGGAGGCGGGTCCTTCCCCCGCGCCCGGCGCTTGGCTCCAGCCCCGAGAACCCCCGAGCAGAGGGCCTGCTGGGCTCCTGGCCACAGACGCCGAGATGCTCAGTGGGATACTCAGGCAGCTGAGCCCACAGCGATCGCTCACGCAGCGACAACTACGGGGGAACGTGCATGCCCACCCCAGCACGCAGGCCGCCTCGAACCTCCATGCCTGTGGCCGGAAGCCGTGAGTCCAAGTTCCGGCTCCCACGGAAGACTTGGCCAGCCAAGGGACCTCCTCGATCCTCCTTCCACTCCGAAATTGACCCAAAGCCTGCCCTTGCCCCCCAACAGGCCCATGCGCCAGGGCACGGGGGGTGGGGGGAGGACGGACAAGCCCGATTCACAGCGGGGATGCTGCGAAGTGGGGTGAAGACCTGCAAGCATCAGCACCCTGCAGCCCCGCAGCCCCATGACTGCAGTCAAACTGAATAACTTTAGGAAGACTGATTTTAGTAAGTGAGCAGAATACAACACCCAAGGGAGCCAGAGAAGGAACAGAAACGGAGGGAAGACGGCTAATGTGTGAGAGAAGACAAATGTGATTTTAAAGCTCATCGGTCCACAAAGGACAAACCCAAGGAACGAAGTTAGACGGTGACGCGCGGGGACATCTGCATGTGCCAGGAGCTTAAAGAGATGAGCACACTAAATGCACCGGTTAAAAGGTAGAGACTGCCAGCGACGTTTCTTAAAATCCAGCTTTAGGACGTTCACAAGACAATGCGGACAGGGAGAAAATCCAACGAGCTCGATCTGCGATGAGGCAGACTGGGACACATCGACGTTACTGAAGTAAAGGAAATTATTTCACAATGTAAAGGGTCAATTCTCCATGAACCTACATTGCTACGTACCTACTGGGGGGCTATGAGTTATTTATACACAGTGAAAACAGACCGAACGGCACAGCAGACAAATGCACGTCATAACGGGATATTCAAGACGCTTCTCTCAGTAAGTGATGAACACAGACCGAAGGAGTCCGGAAGACCGGGAGACCTGAACTGCACAAACCACCTCTACGCGGCAGCAGTGTATGTGAACTTTCCCACAAACTAACGAGACGCTGGGCAGAAAGCAGGTCTGAGCACGTTCCAGCAGAATAGCACTACACAGAGTCCATTCTCAGCCACAATGCAAGCGAGCCACACATCAACAACAACGACGAGAAAACAGGATAGAAACGAAGAACTATACTCGCAAGTAACCCCTGATCCACGAAGAATATGAGAGAGAAAATATTTTCAACTGAATCTCAACAGAAATACTGCAAAATGAAAGCTCGTGGAGCGCAGCGCTCGGAGGGACGTTTGCCTCTCAACAGAAATACTGCAAAATGAAAGCTCGTGGACGAGTTTCACGTCCTTGCTCCAAAATGCTCACACGTCTCCAGGTCTCAGAAGAAACCCTGCGAATCACTGAGCTGCTGGGGCTCCGTTCGCTGCAATCCCGGGAAGGGCGGGGATGGGAATTCCAGAAGGCACCCTGTGGCCACCAGGATTTGGGGGGTGGGTGACCGAGGGTGATGGACGTGTCCTCGGTCACCGCTGCGGTGGCTGCTGCTGACGATGACACATGTCACGCGTGTCGTGCTTCTCTCTCCAGATGCACCGCCGTGCTGTGCCCCGCGTGTGTGTGCACGTGTGCGTGTGTGCATGCATGGGCGTCTGGGCACATGCGAGCATGAGTGTGCACGCGTGTGTACGTGTGCGCCTCAGAGAAAGCTAAGGAGCAAGTGCGGGTTCGAGCACTGACGCACGTTAGATTTCTCGGGGTTCCCACGGTCCCCGCCTTCTGAGCGATGGCCACCGGCACACGATAAAGACAGAATACGGCCTCTTCCCCAGACGTGGCTGTCCGCGTGCTCAGGGCACCGGCGAGGAGACAGCTGCTCCGTGAAAGCACGCTGGCCGCTGCCTCCTCTCCCCCAGACCCGGGCACTCCACTGCGGGCAACGGCACAGCCTCTCTGCCCCGGGGGGCTGCTGCCCCAGAAGCTCCCCGACTCATAACTTGGGGTTCCTGTCCTGAGGCACGAACCCTCTCTGCACACACGGGTGCCATCTGTCCTCACGGCGTCACCCTGAGGGGTGTGGGGGACTGACACAGGGGCTCTGTGAGTCACTCAGAGTTGGCCCCTGACCTGACACCCACAGCCCGCAGCCACACGGGGTCACAGGGGAGACACGGTCACGGTTCCTGTGTCCGCACTGTCCCAGTTTGGAAAGCATTACCTATTTCACACGCACAGCCGAGATGAAAGTCACTCGGGAGAAGCCCGTGGGGGCCAGGCCGGGGGCCCAGGGCAGGAGCCAAGGCCCACTCCCCACATGCCAAAATCAATTTCCATTTTTAAAAAGTGCCCCTCTCCACCGGGCCCCAAAGAGCATTTACCTTGATGGCTTTCTCCGTCAACTGTCTTGCTAGTCTGTATCTGTCTAATTTGGGGGAAGAAGTCGAGTCTTGGGGAACTCCTCGTTTCAATTCTGCAAAAGAGAGAAGGACGTGAAGGCAAACGGGCCCTCCACGCCAGAAACACGGGGTGGGGGTCGCCGGCCCCAGCCGCCCTGCCTCAGGGCCTCCCTGGCCTCGCCCTCTCAGTGCCGCTCCGCCGGCCTCGGGGGCCCCTCTCCCCTCGCCCAGCCCCCCGCCCAGCCCGCGGCCACACGAAGGCTCCCACCGCTCCTTGCTCCGACCCCGGCCACCAGACTCGTGTCAGCGCACACCGAGCTTCTAAGTAACTGCCTTAAGAACTAAATGAACGCCCCGCGCTGCACCCCACGCTCCGCCACCAGCCTCTCTGCTCCCCTCTGCCCACACCCCCATCGTTGGCTCCTCCAGACCGCCCATGCC